AGCACTGGAGCTGGCGGGTTCGAATCCAGCCCGGGCCTGCCAAACAATGATAACTACAACCAAAAATTAGCCGGGCGTTGTGGCAAGCGCCTGTAGGCCCAGCTACTCGGAAGGCTGAGGCAAGAGAATCACTTAAACCCAAGAGTTTGAGGTTGCTGTGAGTTGTGACGCCATAGCACTCTACTGAGGGCGACATACTGAGACTCTGTCTCAAAAAATATATATATTGGTAGAAAGAGAAAGTTCAGAGTAGGATATCAGAAGCAGAGGCCGTAGCACAGAACAGAGTCTGCGCTGTGCTGCAGAAGCAGTTGGGAAGTGGCGGGCCTGGACTGTCCCGCTGCTGCCCCCACGTCGACTGGGGAGCTGTTACACTGGCGCGTAAGTGTCGGGCAAGAAAGAAGAGGACCAGCGCTCATTTTCCCTGGACTCAGGCGCCTAAGTCCGTGAAAGCCGAGGGGCCACGGCCGCGCCTTGCCAGAGCCGAGAAGTTGTCGAGCCCCCAGGGCGCCTCCACCCTGCCCCCCCCCCCGGGACTGATAAAGATGTCCCTCGCTGACCCCGGAGGCGGCACCCAGGCACGGCGCGAGGACCGCCAGACCAGCCGACTGCGGCCTCTTCCCGAGGGGCCGGGGGCGCGCCCGTCGGAAGGTGGGAGGCGGAGTTGCTCCGTTTCTGGGAAGAGACCAAAGGAATGAGTAATTGGAAATTCTGTAACATAGACCCTCATCCCAGACCCTTAGCTCTTTCCACCCCAAACCCCCTGCCGAGAGGCTAGGGGACCGGAGACAGGGAGACGCGGTGGAGCGAGAGTCACGTTTCGGAGAGGGAAGTGAAATAAAAAGGGCGGCACCCGGGGGGACCCGTGCGTCATTGAGGGACCGAGGAGAAGAGCAGGGCGCGCGGGGCTGCAAAAGGAGAAGCGGGAGCAACAAGCCAGAGGGAGCGGCCGCGAAGCGTCAGAACCTCCTGCCTTCCCGGGCGGCACCCCGGCCGCCTGCAGCCTCGCGGCCCTCGCCGGGACCCGCAGCCCTCGGGACTCGGCGGGAGGGACGCGAGTGCAGAATGTGGCAGCCGACGCGGCCCCGGCCCCGCGCGCCCTGGCGCTGGGCGCTGGCGCTGCTGGCCTTGGGCGGCGCGGGGCTGTGCCACGCCGGCCCGCAGCCCGGGTACCCCGCGCGTCCCAGCGCCAGGAACAAGTAAGTGCGCACCCTTCTGCTCGCCCCAAATCCTGGCGCCCGGGGCTCCCACCTACCCCTCAGCCATCCGAAGCTGCCCTGCCAAAAGCGACGAGTGGTTGCCAAGGGTCCTCGATGGATTCCCCTGGGCGACTCCTCCTCTGGGTGCCCGGCGCCCGGGGCAGAGTTAAGTCCGGGGGCGTAGGGCGCCCAGAGACTCCTGCAGAGCAAGGCGATCTGGAAACTACTCCCAGGAATCTCTTGTCTTTCTTCTCCTCTTTTGCCGGGTAAAGATGCACGTTTTCCAAAAGCGCACCCTCCGGGATATGCTTTGCCAAGCTCCTACCTCCGCTGGGGGCGTCGGGCGCCCTGACCCTGGTTAGGTCCAGAACGGCTGTATCAGCTGGTCCCCTCCACCCCAGCCTCATTGTTAGGGTATACGCTCTGCCCTTCTCCCTCTTTCTCCCCAGGAACTGGTGCGCCTACATCGTGAACAAGAATGTGAGCTGCTCTGTGCTGGAGGGAAGTGAGAGTTTTATTCAGGCTCAGTACAACTGTGCCTGGAACCAGATGCCCTGTCCATCCGCGCTGGTGTAAGTCCTGAAGTAGCGAGCGGGCAGGGCGCGCCCAGGCCGGGGCCCTGCGGGTGGGGTGGGGTTGCAGTGCAGGGCTCCAGCCCTCCTGTAAATCTCTTCCAGATCTGGTGAAAACCTAGCAGCTGAAAAGTTTGAGGGCTGAGCAGGATTCCAGCCACGCCAGGGTATTTAAGAAGCGTGTGCTGACCCGAATGAGCACGGAGGATGCGCATTTGGAAGTCTGGGATAGGAGAGGATGAACAAAGCCCCCACCCCCGCTTCTCTTTTTTTCCTTTCAATTTTGTTACTAACATAAGACAGCTGAACCTAATTAGATCCATATTGTGTGTTCTGGGGCACACAGAAATTCCAAAATGTATACTGCTAAAAACTTCTAAACGTAGGATTGGCTGAGAGGTTTGGGCAGTTTTCTAAAACAAGTGAGTTTTGTCCATATGTTACCATAAAACTGACCTCTTCCGGTGTTATAGATCCCTAAAAGTCTCAGGAACAATTTGTTTAAAAGTATGTGGGTGTGTGAGTGAGTGCACGTGTGTGTCTAAATTAGATTTGGGGATTCACTAAAAGGGTTTGCAGAAGAGAATGTTCCTTAAAGACAACAGGAAGAATTAATCATTATTTTACTATAAAGACCTCAACATCTAAAAAGAAAAAAAAAAAAGAGGAAGCGGATGCAATGGAATTCAGATGCCATTAACTACATCACACTGTTCCATTGTCATCAGGCAAGTCTTTGATTTTTTGTGTAAGTTAGATTCCAGAAGATGGGCTGATGGGAATAGATGGCCATTGGGAACACATGTGATGATTGAAGTGAATTGTTTTCCACAAAGAATAAGTTGTTTGTCTTAGAGAACAGTTGTCCTTACAGCAAAGAATAGTCTGCAGGCAGATTTGTCTTTGGCAAAACCAAGGGACAGACTGAAACTTGTTCTCTAGTAAACCTTATTCCGGAGGGCAGTTGGTGGAGAGGTGGCCCCTGCATCCATCCCACCTGGACTGCTGGGCCACTGCAAACAGGATGGGCCATTCCTGCTGGGCAAGAGCAAAGCAAAACAAAAACTTAGATCCCCACTCTAATACACAGAAGAAAAAGCTGACATTGGATGCAAGGATGTCACTCTGAGTTGGATAAATTGTCAGACGCCGTACTGTCATCCTACCTGATTCTCTAGAGCAGTGGTTTTCAACCTTTTAAATCTCACGGCACACTTGAACCTTAGTTAAACTTCCGTGGCACACTTAAATTATGTTGATCAAAAAAAGAGTGAAAAAAAGAATACACTTACTGTGCTTTGAACTTATTTTGAAAATAATTTAATTAATGATCTTTAAATTTTTTTGTGTTTCGTGACACCCCTAAGATCCTCTGTGCCACAGCACACGGGTTGAAAATCACTGCTTTGGTGGGTAAGATCTCTCAGTCTATGGCCAGTAGTCAGTGGCACCAGAACCAGATAAAAGTTTTATGTGGTAGTAGAGACATGAACTATAAATATTCAGCACAGTTCAAATGAATTCGTTTAAAATTAGAATTGAGGCTCAGTGCTCAGCCTCATATAGCGTCAGCCACATATACCAAGGCAGGTGGGTTGGAAACTGACCTGGGCCAACTGAACAACAGTGACCACTGTGATAAAAAATAGCCAGGTGTTGTGGTGGGTGCTTGTAGTCCCAGCTACTTGGGAGGGTAAGGTAAGAGAATCACTTAAGCCCAAGAGTTTGTAGTGAGCTGTGATGCCACAGCACTCTACTGAGGGTGACATGGTGAGATACTATCTCAAAAAAAAAATTAGAATTGAATTGGGAATATTTGATTCATTTTATATAACAGCTACATTTTGTGGTTTGCTAGAACCTTAATACTTCCTCCTGTGATGACTCTGATGAATGCAGGAGCCCACGTCACCTCTCAGTCCACAGGTATTATCAGATCATCCCTTTTATGATGTGCTCCTAGGACCTGTAGAAGAGGCGGTTCTTTGGTAACTCACCCTGGAGTGGCTGACGGGGATTTCTGGGCAGTGTCAGAAGTAGAGGGTTGGAGGTTGGCCAGGATGCTGGAGTTAGAAGCACATTTCTGCAGCTGGGAGAGGCAGGTCTGGGCCACTGGGGAGGCCTAAACATCCTTGAGCAGAGCTGAGTTCTCAGAGCTGAGGAGGAATGGAGCAGGAAGAGCCAGGCCAGGAGAGAGAGCAAAGCCAAGATGGTGGCAGAAGAAACCCTCCTCTCAGAGACCAGGCAATGTCCTGGACACTGCAGCTCCAGAATGGCCAAGGGTTCCGCCAGCAGGAGCATTACTAATGTAGAAAGAGACCCTTCAGGCCAGTGGGGTGCAGATAATAATGTGTGTGAGTTACAGGAGAGGGTTGTGAGGAAACCCAGTTACCCAGCAAATGATACAGTGTCTGGTAAGAAAAGAGAGACAGCAGCCAGGCAGGTAGAGAAGGAAAGATAATGCCTATTTCGGGACAGAAGTGAAAAAGCCACAGGGAGAGACTGAAGGTGCTCTGAGACTGAGGAGAAGTAGCTGGAAGGGGGTTTGATGCAGGTACTCGTACAAATAGGAGGGAGAGGTCTACACCGCATCCCTGGACCCCGACGGCCTCCGGGGCTGGGAGCCTCACGGTGGGTGCACTGTCAGAGGGCTGAGGCAGACGGTGCTCCCTTCCCATGTATGAAGAGCCTTAGGTTCCGTAGTGTGAATTTGGATATTGTTAGTTCTTTTTCTTTTTTAATTTAAAAAATTGTTCCGATTAATATGAGGGTACAAATATGATAAGGTTACAATGTCTGTTGTTCAGTGAGCTCCCTATTGTAGCTGTGCCCCTCACCCAGGAGGTGTGCCACGTACCCTTACAACGCGCCCCTTAGGTGGTATCGCATCCCTCCCCTCCCTCCTTCCTTTCCCTCCTCCCTCCTCCCCCCTCCTGAATTTGGATATTGTTATATGAACCCAGGAGCAGAGCTGTGCTTCTATGATACATGGGCATTTTAAGTAATCACTTTTCTGACACTATAAAGTCCCTTCTTATGTGCCAGGTACCATGTTAGAGCTTTCCGTTCCGTGTATTACTTTATTTAGTCCTTGCGACAACCCTTCAAGTTGAATAGCATTGTCCCCATTTACCACTGACGGGTCTGACAGGAGCCGCTCCCTCACTGGCCTGTGGTCATGCGACAGTAAGCGACTGAGCTGTTCCTGGCCTTTCCAGGCTGCCCTCTGTCCCCGCAGCAGTGGAGAATGCATCAATTTGTTTGTTTCAGTGTGTGCCTTCCACTATTACGAACATTTACACTGGGCCATGCCTGTGGCTCAGTGAGTAGGGCTCTGGCCCCATGTACTGAGGGTGGTGGGTTCGAACCCGACCCTGGCCAAACTGCACCAAAAAATAACCAGGCATTGTGGCAGACACCTGTAGTCCCAGCTACTCGAGAGGCTGAGGCAAGAGAATTGCCTAAGACCAAGAGCTGGAGGTTGCTGTGAGCTGTGACGGGGTAAAAAAGTGAGACTCTGGGTAAAAGGGAAAGGGTAAAAAAGGAGTAAAGGGTAAAAAAGTGAGACTCTTTCTCTAAAAAAAAAGGAACATTTACATCCTCTTTCATGGAAGGCAGAAGGCAGTGCCCACACAGAAGTGCCGAGAACGGTTTATGTGTGCATATGGGTGGCGTGCGTGTGCATGCACGTGTGTGCCCTAATTCTTTGTGTGTGTGTCATTTTGCTTCGATGCAAAGGACTTATCATTTCCTACCCCCATCGCTATGCTGTGCAGTTTGTTTGCTTATTTTCATGAAACACTGGCAGATGTGGTTGTTTGGGTTGCAGACCAGTTGTTTATAGGGTGATCTGCATGTGCTAGACTGTGACCGTTGGGCCAGTGTGTGACCACTTCAGGGCTTTCACGCATGAGCTCAGCACCACCATGACACTCGTCTCTAAGGAAGGGTGTTAAAGGCGCACTTCCTGAGGAACAATTTAAAGCCCCAATGGTTGTGAGTTAGTGATGCCCTTCTTGCATGTGAAGAATTGCGTGTTAATAATTCTTGTCTCCTGTGAAGATTTGCCATCACTTAAGAGTGTAAGTTAGGAATCTCCTCCCTCTTCTCCTTCCCTGTCTCTCTCTCTCTCTCTCTCTAGTGCATGGCGCCAGATGGGAGGCGGGTTCAGGATCTTCCAGACACAGGACTGATTCCACAGAAAATGCCTTGTCTTCCCTCAGCTAATTCCTAAGGATTAGGAAGGGGGAAGAGGAGGGAAGGGGGATTATCCCCTCAAAGTGACAGAGGAGGAACCTGGGTGGGGCAGCTGCTCCTGGGCGCTCAATACCCTGTCACTGCATGGTAGGGATTTTCCATGTAGTCCTAATTCTCAAGGTGAACTTCAGGATTTTTTTTTCCCTTCTTGAGATAATTGTCCTCCTTTATACTTCTATATTAAGATTAAGCCAAATCTTGGCCAGGCGTGGTAGCTCACGCCTGTAATCCCAACACTTTGGAAGGCCGAGGCAGGTAAATTACTTGAGCTCAGGAGTTTGAGACCAGCCTGAGCAAGAGCAAGACCCCCTCTCTAAAAAATAGCTGGGTGTTACGGTGGGTGTCTATAGTCCCAGCTACTTGGGAGGGCAAGAGAATCACGTGAGCCTAAGAATTTGAGATTGCTGTGAACTCTGATGCCAGGGCATTCTACCCAGGGTGACAGAGTGAGACTATCTCAAAAAAAAAGAATGAAGGAAAGCCAAATCTCTTAAAACAGGCGTCCTCAAACTATGGCCCATGGGCCACACGCAGCCCACCTAGGACATTTACCGGCCTGTTGGGTGTTTTTGCCACTGCTGCCTGTCCTGCTTAGCAGCCGACTCATCCTGGGGTCCATAGTCCGGCCCTCCAACGGTCTGAGGGACAGTGAACTGGCCCCCTGTTTAAAAAGTTTAAGGACCCCTGTCTTAAAATTTCGTTGTGTTAAGGAATTTTGTTCCCAATTAATCATAAAAGGTCCC